AAGAAGATGAACACTTGTGTGGAAACGAAAAACCTAGCTCTTTGAAATGTTTCAGCCGCATAAATGAATATGGATATTGAGCGGAAACGGTGGAAAGCCGAAAAGAATAGGGTAAATTGCGGCTCCGTGTTTTTTTTTAATAGGACACGCGTATCCGATACGCGTGTCCAGTCAAATTTAAATAATATTTTAATTGGACATGGCAAAACCGTATCTGACACGTATCCGTGTCATATCGGAGGCGTATCCGTATCCGACACGTGTCCGATACAGCACGCCTCGTAAATAGGAGTATCCGTGCAACATAGCTCATAATTAAATTATTAAATTAGTAAAAATAAAATAATAAATATCATGCTAATACCAAAGTAAGATATCAAAATAAAAAGTAACAATAAGTACATTGACAATCAATTTAACATAAATAATAAGTCTAAGTCACTGGCACTATAATTTATGAATCCAAAATTTTTACTCCTTACCACTAAATAGGTTTTAATTAGTATCATCATTATAGTAATTTTCTTTCTCTCCGACTTCATCATCAGTTGTGGCTATGAGTGCGAGTAATTTAGTATGCATGCGTAGTGTGCGACTAGAAGTCTTCGAGTCTAGAAGGTGTGTGTAGTTCTAGTCCTCGATTTTGTTTGTTTTAGGTGTAAACAAATAACAAATGAAGGTGTAGCAACATAAAAAATCTCAGCACTATGCACTTCACTTGCATTATAGCAATATGATACTAATGTTTCTCAAAATAAATTTAGATTCATGCCGGGTAGGTCTATGATGGAAGTCATACATTTATTAAGAGGTTTGATGGAGAAGTATAGAGAGAAAAAGGTAGATCTTCGTATGATATTTATCCAGAAAAAGTATATGACAAAGTTCCAAGAGAAGTGCTATGGAGAGTTCTAAAAAAAAGGGATTAATAATGCTTATAATATGCTGAAGCTGTTACTTGTGTTCAAACACAAGGTGGTTTGACCAAGTATTTTCCAATTTCAGTTGGATTACGTACATCAAGGATCAGCCTTAAACCCATATCTTTTTGCTTTAGTCATGGATGTTCTTACTAGAGATTTGCAAGAGGATGTTCTCTGGTGTATGCTTTTTGTTGACGATATTCTTCTTGTTCATAAGACTAGAGAGGGAGTTGAAGTTAAACTTGAATTATGGAGGTCAACCTTAGAGTCTAAAGGTTTTTGTTTGAGTATAAAACCAAATAAATGGAGTGTAATTTTAGTAGTAATAGTTATAGTGGGGGTTTTGTAACTTTGAGAAATCAAGTCATTAATAAGAATACACAATTTAGATATCTTGGGTCTATTTTTCAGAGTGATTGTGAAATAAATGGGGATATTATTAGTAGAATTCATGTTGGATGGATGAAGTGGAGAAATGCATCAGGCTTATTGTATGATAGAAAAGTATCACTCAAACTTAAGAGAAAAATCTATGAGATGGGGGTTAGACCTGCAATGCTTTATGGCGGAAAATGTTGGCCATTAAAAGAGAAGCAAAATATTAAGTTAAGTGTTGCAAAGATGAGGATGCTGATGCAATCAAAAATTTGGGAGAGTGACCCAAATTTTTGATCACACAAAAAAAAACTCTTTCTAGAGAATAAAAGATTACAAGAACTCACAAAAATTAGACTAATTAGACAAATAAACTAAAACACCATTTTCATATTATAAAAGGACTTCCAAACAACTTGAACACTTGCAAACGACTCAAATGACACTTACAAGACACCCTATAGTTGCTTCACTTAGAGAAGAAGGATACAATGGAATGGCACTTGCGGATAGACGAAAGAGGTTAGAAGCCAAGACGAAGGTTGGAAAGAGCTCGCAAGATTTCCTATAGGAGGAGGGAAAGGAAGATTGGAAAGAGCCCGCAGGATTTCCAAAGTAAAAACTTCTATGTTTTTTGTCCAAAATCACATCATATCATCTCATGTAAAAAAGCCCAAAACATCTACTATATATAAGGCAAGAGAGGGGGAACTATAACAGACACTTTAGACACGGTCCAATGGACCACCAAATGCAAACAGCCAAAACAGCCCAACGCAGCTTCCAAACAGCAGCCCAAAGAGTCCAGAAATACCGGCTAGAAATTTAGCAAGAAAAACTGCACAGAAAATGACATGGAAAGAACTCTTATGGAATCCCCAGCAAACAGCCACCTAAATCAGTCCCCATAAATTGTCCACATCGTCTCAAAATACAGCCAAAAGCTGTCCAAAATACAGTCTCAAAAACTCTTCATATTCCCATATAAAAGAATAATAGAAAAAATGAAAAGCCAAAAAGTCACCTGCATGATACCCAAGAGTCACAGTCATTTTGCCAAGCGAACCGGAAGGCCACGGAACAGCCAAAAAACAGAGCCTAATG